TAATTATGCGCTTTCTTTGAAATGTCTCAGTATCTCTGTTCCTGTGTGACGATGCGGAAGCTCACTTTTCATGTTGAGAATACCAGAATAGATGGTAGGGATGGCTATGTGAAACACCATCCCTAGATTGAGATGTGTATAGAACCAGGGAGGAATATATATATATATATATATATATATATATATATATATATATATATATATATATATATATAATCAAAAAGTAGTACGCTCTGAGAGTTAGTAAACTACATATAACCATAAACACAAAAAGTATCATATTTCACCAGTCAAATGAAATAAACAGGACAGTTTATAGGCTCGCATTGTTGTGTCCGCGTCCTTCCGTCAGTCTGTGGTCAACGTTAGCGCATAAACTGTTTAGAAGGTTTTCTTGAAAATTGATATTTCCTCATCCATCTGGAGGAACTAGGGATCCTGCAAGTTTGAAACGGATACGTCGAAATTTTGCAGTACTTTACATGTAGGCTCAATATTTTTCGAAATTTTCTCAAAAATGGCTTCAAATTTTTATGATGGATATGACAGATATTGATTTATAATCAAGTACAATTTTCAGAAAATGTTAGCAACTTTAACGTAATTTTGCGGGAAATTATTATTATTATTATTATTATTATTATTATTATTATTATTATTATTATTATTATTATTATCATTAAGATCCCATTAAGGGTAAAGCCTCCTGCGGGGAATGATGAGTGAAGTGATAGGATGACGATGAGGTGAGCAAGGACTAGGATGATGGTGAGAGGTGGCAGGTGGTGGGAGGTGATCGTGGCATTTTTGAACCATCTTAACATTCATAACCGAGACGAACCACGAAAAACCCTAGTCAGGATGGTCGACTCAGGGACCTTCCCATTTTCGAAGTCAGCGCGCAGTCTTATGCACTGAGCTACTTCGCTTGTAGTGAAATGGAATGAGCAATTTTTAAACATTTTTTTCTCAAACGCGACTCCATTTTTTTATTCGTACGTTGCAAAAGGAGGTACAAAATGGTGCTGGTACCATTTTTGTAACCGGTGCACTTTTGAAATTAAACTCACTATGTTTTCGAAAATTGTAAAAAATTAACACTTAAAGTACAATGTTAATGGTAGAGATTTTTCTCTTAAATTAAATTAGTTCTAAAAACTAGATCTTTAAGAAAAGTCATACACGATTTTAAAATAACGAGTAATTTTCATAAAATTTCTGATTGAATTTACTGCAATTTATAAAAAAATTCAAATTCTGAAAAACGGAACAATTTTTTTAATTTTTTTAGATAGAGAAAAGAATGTTTGAAAATGGTGCAAGTCTCATTTTATTTGAACTTTCTGCATTTTCAATTTTTTTAAACTTGTTGCGTCTTTGTCAATTCAATGCGTTTCTGAACCCTTATTGGGCGTTGAGGGTCCGGCATTGAGTAAGTAGCAGTAGCAGTAGCAGTAGCAGTAGCAGTAGCAGTAGCAGTAGCAGTAGCAGTAGCAGTAGCAGTAGTAGTAGTAGTATTAGTAGTGGTAGTGGTAGTGGTAGTGGTAGTGGTAGTGGTAGTGGTAGTGGTAGTGGTAGTGGTAGTGGTAGTGGTAGTAGTGGTAGTGGTAGTAGTGGTAGTGGTGGTAGTGGTAGTGGTAGTGGAAGTGGTAGTGGTGGTAGTGGTAGTGGTAGTGGTAGTGGTAGTGGTAGTGGTAGTAGTAGTGGTAGGGGTAGTGGTAGCGGTAGTGCTAGCGGTAGTAGCAGCGGTAGTAGCAGCAGTAGCAGCAGCAGTAGCAGCAGCAGTAGCAGCAGCAGTAGCAGCAGCAGTAGCAGCAGCAGCAGTAGCAGCAGCAGTAGCAGCAGCAGTAGCAGTAGCAGTAGCAGTAGCAGTAGTAGTAGTAGTAGTAGTAGTAGTAGTAGTAGTAGTAGTAGTAGTAGTAGTAGTAGTAGTAGTCAGAGGCCTGCCCTCGGGTATCCGCTTCGGTATCAGCAATTTATTTCTTGTTCCCAATTCACAAGGAGAAACAGGTATGATGTAATCAGAACAGTTCTATATACTGCAGTAGACTGCTCACTTTACACTGACACTTTAACTCCTTGAGTTCGATGAAAACATGCAAACTAGTCACAGACCGCGGAGATATCGCCGAGCGAATGAGTCCAAAACATATAAAATAGAACTTTCAGATAAACTATAAATAATCACTAAATTTCTCAAATTAAAATCATCACCAATTGAAGTACGGTAAAGCATATCCAATGCGGAATGCCAAGGGACCAGAATTTGTTTTCTGTATTAGACAAGATTCCGCAATAAGCAATGTAATAGAGTACAATTTAGAATATATGTAGAATATATGTTTGCCGGGACCGCGATTTGCATTCACATTAGACACGTCCCACATTGAGCAAGTTTTACTGCATTAAAATTCATGTATCAAAATTAACTAACCGCGCAATTCCCTACTATTACCGTGATATTACAAATTTTATTAACCTTGCTAGTTACAGTAGCCACAGGAGAAAGGTCATATTCAAATTTAAAAATTACTAATCTAAAAACTCCCTATGATCAGCTATGTCACAAGAATTATTAACAGATCTGGCAATATAATTGAAAGTGATATCTGCAAAAAAATTATTCAGAGAGAATCACCAGAATTTGCAAGTTCGAAAGTTCAAAACGTGTATTATTTTATATTCTACATGGATATTTTTTATTATTTCATAAATATATGATAACACTTCAGTAAATACTATTTTAAACAACTAAACTTTTCTGCAGTATATTAAATGTAAATAATGTATTACTTTTGAAAGCGCAAATGTACTGGCAAATATACTGGCATCAGGGCGGCAAACCAGTGCGCGACAGCGAATATGTGCTAACCACACGTACCCTAATTCACCGAAAAAATACTTGTAGGAAAATTCAAAAAATCGCAGCACTATCACAGGGGAATTTACTTCACCGATAAAGTCTGAACCAATGGTCCGATTTTCGATCTGTAAACGGCATTTGACCCCTTTTTAAAATGGAATTAACGCTGTGAAGCCCTTTTCCCCCAAAATCTAGCAAAAACTCGAATTTGAAATTGGTTCTCTAACTTCTGAGAAAAAAATTTTAAAATGTAGGCTTACAACGTGATGGCGACATGCCTTCCAAATCCAACGCCGTGACAATCATGCAAATCGTCGGATAGGAGCGTCGTAAACTGAAATTTGGGAAAACACCTCGCCTGCTCCCCCTTCCGCGCCGTTGCGTCAACCACCCACCCGTTGTGGGCCTGTTGTCGGCGCGGCGGCACGGCCAGGCCCGGCGGCGTGCGGGCAGCCCTGGCGGAGGAGGCGCGACTTGCGGGACAGGCAAGTCAGATAGTCGGTTTATGCTTTCGTCACTTTGCATCTCAATCTATTTTTCACAGATAGCAAACTAGAGAATCTCTACTACTATTACAGACCGAAGCAAAAGGTCTGTAATAGTAGTGCACAACTATCTTTTTCACATATTTCCGTCTTCCTTCGAATACCATTGTAAAATCATTCCACCTTACTCTAAGATCTTCTGTTGTCACATACCGGAAAGAATGAGTCTCCCTATACGCACGAGCTCTTTTATCCTGCAACACGATTTTCATCTCAAAACGGCGTTTATCTGCTTTATAGAGTTCATCCGATGAATCTCTTTTCATAAGTAAAATAGAAGAAGCTAATTTTAAAACGTTTTCGTACTTTCGGACAAATTTAAAAAGGTGGTAAAATAGCGCGCTGATGAGCTGCATCCAGACTCCAACGTAGTATGAGAAATCATTGAAATATGATATTATGAATGATGACTTATCCCAGCTTACTTGGTATGTTACATTGATATAAAATAAATATGTTATATTTGTATAATTTTGAAGGGAATAAATATTTCCCGGCGCGTCATTTCGTACAGACTACGTAATTGAATGATGATGCAATTGGATAGCTCCTAGATGTTTGCTTGCATTTGGAGCTTGTTTTCCCTTCCATTTTCTTTGTTTTAGAAAAAATGGATTTTCTATAAAACGTTATCTGTAGAAATTTCAGTAGGCAAAACCAGTTGGACGTGACTCTTTATGTATCGGCCACAATGATATAATTAATAAGTAACATTCAAACGAGTTTAAAAACTAAGGAAATATTTTTCTGTAAGTATGATTGTAGGATATTCGTTACGGTAATGCTTACTCCATGTAATGTAATCTATACAACTTTCCAGAGAAGACAGAAAATGAGGCTTCTTTCAATGTGAATTGTTTCTAAAAATGTAAGAAAGTATTTGCTTTAATCAACAATTTTTTTTCCTCCCCCTTTTTCTTTTTCTGAAGGATGACTTTTGTCGATTGATTCAATCACACGGTATTCATGCACTTGTGTTATCGTAGCGTTAATTCTATTTTAAAAAGACGTCATATGCCATTTACAGATCGAAAATCAGACCATTGGTTCAGACGTTATCGGTAAAGTAAATTTTACTTATTTTGGTGTTGACTACAAACTGTACTACTGTCGGTATATTTAGCCTTACCCATGGTCGCAAGGCCGGAAAGCTGCTGGTAGGCCTTAGCTCGAAAAGAGCTGTTGTGCCAAAGTGCATACATACATGTCACGTAAACCACATTACGGTGAACTCGTGTAACAATTGACTCATGATCCATTGCATCATGGGCGGTCGGGCTGCTGTTTAGTTACTCCGCAGTCCACCAGATAGCGCATTGGAAGTAGTTTTTTATAAGCCTAGTAGATGGCAGGAACGTAATGCCGCGTGGATTAAAACAACTCCTTTCGTAACGTCTTCAACGTAACAGTAAATTTGTTCGTGCTGATATCATTCGGCGTAGTTCTACCGCTCAGCAAAAAACACAAAAACTGGCGCATGTTTTCATCGCAGAAAAAAGTGAACGGGTGACATCAGTGCGAGTTTTTTTTTTTTTTTTTTTTTTTTTTTTTTTTTTTTTTTTTTTTTTTTTTTTTTTTTTTTTTTGTGCCAGGAAAACCCCTCAATTTACGTGATCAACATCATCATCATCGTTTTGGAGTATTACCAGTGTGGTATGCAACGGTTTCCAATAGATAAGTTCGCGAAGTCTTCCATTTTCAGTGCGCGGAAAGTTTCATTGATTCATTTCGTGAAAAAAGAAAACCATTTCGTGTGCGATAAATGCAAATGCTTTGAGCTTGTGTGCATTGAAAGGGTGTGACGCATGCATTTGTACACGCAGTAGCAGATTCGCCACGTAAGCAGCTCTTCTCACCGATCATCTAACATTTAATTTAATAATAGTAAATCTCTTGTAAATTAGAAGTGAAAATGGTTCATTTTAAATGTAAAAGTAGGTACTAACAAAAAATACCAAAATTCACGAACACAAAATGTTTGCTAACAAGTCCAAACGTTTAACCTTTCGGATTTTTTTGTATTCCAGCTTTACAATCTACCTTTTTCGTTGCAAGAAATCGTTAATAAAATGACATGGCACAGATTATGACGTATTTGCCGTTTATGGCGAGCTATCTCGCATTTTCAGCCAATCACATCAAAAGAATCGTGGGTATGTGTCGTTTGTTTTTTTTCCGCATAGTTGTCAAGTACTCGTGACGTCGCAATAAAATTGTTTTCAAAAATTCACTTAGGTTCTCGACAGAATTTATAATGAAAATAATAATTCAAAATGATATGTCTGCTTGATTACACTGAATCCGCCGCTGCGTGTGCCTATAAACAAGTTAGAAGTTCTGGGGGCATCGCTCAACGAGAGAAATTCATTCAACATAATTTGGCAGGTATGTAACAGTATGCCCATTTCAATGGTGTATTAATATTAGTAAGGTCCCAAAAGTTAGATTTAAATGCAAGATCTACATATGCACCAATAAAAATGTTTTTAAAATGGGTTTAGAGGTGCCACACAACATTTGTCGACCTTTTACGCTACTCTTTAGAAAATTGCGAATAAATTTTATTATATATAAAGTTATTTTTATTAACGTATATTTGGCTGAGGTGGTGCACACGTTACCCCGCAAAACGTTTATGATCATCAGACATTACGTATTGGACTCGTTAACACCATAAAAATAAACATTTCAAATGGCCACGGCTAAGTAATTTTTTAATAAAAATACTTTTAATTTAGAAAAGATTAAAGCTTGAAGTGTCTTCTTTAAAAACTTTGCTTCACACAATTTAACTATTTCACTGCAGTCGGTTACAATAGCGCCGCGCGCCACCACTATCGACGACCCACAATTGAAGCGCACTTCTGTATCTGATTTTTTATTCACGATTAGTTTACATTAAACGTATTTGTAGATAAATCACACTGGTTTTGATGTTACTAGACTTTAAAGAACACTATAAGGCACTTGGAAATCCATGAACTATTTTTACCTTTTTTTCGGTGCAGGAAACGGGTTCAAGGAAAAGGTGGCTTTTCAGAATGCATTGAGAGTGAATCCTTAAACGACGCGAGCCCGGGCGGCCCGCTAAGAGGAAAAAGCAAAACCTAAGAAGGTTTCTATGCCATATGCTGTTCTTGGCTGGGTGGGTGACTGAAATAGCGGTGATATAACGGCGCCGAGCCTCTGGCCCAAGGGATAAAAAGCAATGAGTGAACAGGTTTTCTGTCCAGGCTTGCCCAAGTGGTCTCAGATGAGCGCGAGCGCCCGCGATGGCACGCGGATCCGCTCGCGAGTTCAGACTGACGTTTTCGGAAAGAAAACTCTCCCCATTGGGCGAATTCGAGGAAGCCTCACGCAGAGAGACTGCAGGGAAACGGTGATCGGTCTCTTAGCCATCTCATCCGGTCAACGATAGTTCTTTACTTCATACGTTTCAAGCAGAAATTGTAGAAACTGAAAAAAATCTAATTACTCTATATTGGCTTCTTTTGTAGTCAATTATACAAACCAGAAATTATTGATTTTAACTTTTAATGCATTTTAATGAAAAAATAATCAGTATTATATAATTCGAATTTTAGAACTACAAACATTAATCGATACATTCTAAGGAGCAATCGATTAGATAGTACCACATTTGATACCACATTTTAACCTCAGTGCATTCGCAACCCGGAGAGATAGCGGAGCTCAGTGTTCCACCAGATTCAGTAGGCGACTTATATCAAAATACTAACCAATCACTCCAACACACTAAATGGAATTTGTAGATGCAACATTATGTTGTTGGAAATACTCTGATGCGTTGGTTTAATTACTGGTATTATCACAAAGATCGCAGCGCCAAAACACGAAAAAACACGTTAGTAGACATTTCTTTACATCTTCTGGCCGGATCCGAAAACAGATCAGTTCCGCATAAGGTGACGAGATGCGTCAAATGACACCTCACACGTCTCGATTGGTGCACGGTATGTGGTCTAGCCGTGAGTGTCAGAAACGCACATCCGAACATAGGCACATTCGGAGTTTTACTCAAATACTCTGTAGGGATTATCAGTATATATGATATTTATATTTATTTCATGATATAAAAATATACAATAATATGGACATTTAGTGCACACTCTTCCTCCACAGTTTGGAACTATTTCCATTTAGATCAAAATCGTTGTGCAAAAACATTTAAGACTTCGCACACTTTTGTTTACGTCATGCTATCTCTCAAATATAATCACCCATCCTCATTGTTAGATCGCGGGTCGTGATGCGACAAATTGGCCCGATTTTCTGGCGGCCGCAGCAGTCAGGAGACCGGACGCTCAACCGGAGGAGAAACTGAAAACTGACACGAATGCCACAGCCCGCTCAGCCCGCTAGTATGCCTAGAAGAGTGGGGCGTGTGAGCCGAACTGAGCCGACCGGAGCCGAACGCGTCAGGTTGCCTTCTCTCTCACTCCCCGCCTGTGTTGGCAAAGGGGGCTGGGGTAAGGGGAAGAGGAGCTGCTCTTTTCCATCTCGTGACGTAAGGGTCACGGTCGCGTGCCACGAGCGCGACAGCGGCCGCAAGTCGCAAGTTGGGACCTCCGTCAAGTTGCAACCCCCACTTGTTCGAAATTCAAAATTAACTAGCCTATAATTTTTAGGCGTAGGCTAATCCTAATGTACTATTTTCTACCACAATTAAAATTTTTGTATCGAACTGTAAAATAAAAAAACTGAACATCCAAAAGTGGGGTGCTAGCTTGACGTTAAGTTAGCACCCCACTTCTATAAATTCAAAATCAACTAGCCTAACATTATCTACTAATTATGTACTAATTTTCTAACCACAATTAAAAAAGTTTGGTACTCAACTGTAAACAATTAAAAACCGGTGCAATGGAAGCACTTTTCACACACATTTTCTGATTTTTAAAACTATTTAGAGTGAAGTTTAAGTTGAAATTAATAATGCAGATTAAATTCATAGTGACTTTTTCATGTAATAATTTCAACATTTATCTAGTCGCGCCAACTGTGATATTACAGTCTAAAACACGAAAAATTGCGAGCGGATCTAAACAAAAGTGTCCGCCACTGCATCCCTTTCAGAAATTCCATTTAACTAGTTCATTTCTTCTAACATATATGTACTAATACTGCAACAAAATAAATAATTTCGTGCCAACTATAAACATTAAAACGGGTGGCAATTGAATCAATTTAGCGTTAATTTTCTGATTTTTTTAAAACTCGTTTTGAGTCCAAAATTTAATTTAATTAAATTTAGACTGACTTTGGGACTATGGTTGTGTTTTTAGGTAATAATAATTTAATAATATTTTTTATTATAAGTAAACAATTGCAATTTTTATTTTATTATGAGTGAAAATCTAAAATAGATATGCTATGAACACTGTTATTTTAACCTAAGATTGCAATGTCATATGTTTATGGTTAGCAAATTAAGGGTGCAATTTATTTGTTCTTCGGCCAATTACCTAATATCATAGAAATTCCCTTCACTTCCAATACATTTTGACTCAAATATTTTATGTATAAAAACTTTCAAGGTGGACAATTATTTTGATTTATGGATGAGGTAACCATATAAGTGCTGTTTTGTTTAAAAATCTACGTAACTCTAATGTCTATTTTAAAGCAAAGTATTACTAAAGCAGAGTATTAATATCGGGCTCTGGCAACCAGTCGTGCTATGATCAGCCGGCTACTTCCTATGCTAAAGAGAAATTATAATATTCTGATTGCTTATTCAGGAAAAGTGTGTATTTGTTCCTTCAAAATCAATTTTCCTTTTCCCAGGTACAACAAATGGAATAACAAGTAAAAGCATGTAGTATTAGTAGGCTTCTTCCTGAATTCAGTCACTGCAATTTATCAGTCGGGCTACTTCCTATAAGAAAAAAAATGATATTGTTAATTATTTTTTATAAGTGTGTTCTCGTTTCCAAAGATATATTTTCTTTTGACAAGGCACAGAAAAGGAATTACAAACCAAAGCGTGATTTAATAGGCGGCTCTTTGCAATGCTGGATGCAAGGGGGGAAAATGCTGATAATTTATAGTAGTTGCTATCAATTAAAAATAATACATTCAATTAACAAACCTTCAAGAGATCGCAATTCTGTATAGATTGATTGTCCACATATAACGTGTAAGAATAGAGCAGGTTTTGTGTCGAAACCCATAAATAAATGGAAATACAATTAAATAATAATTACCGTATACTTGTAGGGCAAACTTATCAGCATATCAGGGCAAATAAATGGTAAAAATATTTACGTACGCAAATTGTAAGTTTCCATAGCGTTGCCAAACAGGAAAATAGTCGAAGTTTAAATCGATTTAAGGATTATATAATGTATATCAACAAATCTCTGTATTATTCGTATCAATATATTAATATCAATGAGAATTTCACAATTGGGGGTATTTTACACTTTGCTATTTCATTACCTGCTTTATAACTGGCCCCTGTTGCAGCTTCATTGACATAGTTTTTTGAAAATATTTTGCAAAGACAGGCCGCGTTTGAAATTTATTTTAGCGTACTTGCTCGGAAAATATTGTCATACTTCTCTTCAGGCTTCATTGTATAGTCTCAAGAGCTGTTGAATCCTTTGAGCACGGATATTGTCTCATTTTACATATAACACGCAATGCTGTATTGTCTTTTTCAATTATAAAATATTTGGTGGGTCACTTCGTCATTTTAAGGTCATTAATTTTGAAGCAAGAGCACAAACAGAAAGTAATTATACTTAAAATTACTCAGTTCTTCGTAAAATTAAAATTAAAAATAGAATATTGCATCATAGAAATGTAGTAGAATTAGCCCTAGTAAAACTTTCATAGTAGAAAACAAATTCCATTAAACATAATGGAATGATCGGTTATAGTATTTTGACATAACTTGCTATCTAAATCTGTTCTAATTCTGGTGGAACAGAGAGCTCCACTGTCACTTTCGAGTTCGAGTTGGCAAAAGCGCAGACGTTCAAATGTGATATTCGCTATGTCGCTTCTCGCTGTGCAAACTAAAAATATAATCGAATCAAATCAATGTATTCCATTGTTCGTTAAAAATGTAATGTATGGATTAATATTCTTAGTTCTGAATTAATCGATGAATATAATATCAATTAATTATTTTTATTAAATGCATTAAAAGTTAACATTATTAATTTTTAGTTTGCATTGTGATTACAAAAGAAGCTATAATTTAAGAAAAGAAAACAAGCTATGATATTAGTTCGGTTATTTAGAAGAGATCAATAGTGCTACACTTACGAGACATGAGTTTAAAATGAAATTTCCGGGAATTGCGTTCTGTAGTTTCATTGATATCATCAATAGCATGAAATGCCGGATAAATACTTTACAGATATTCTTTTAAAACAACATTAAATAATCAATAAATTTAGTCTAAGTTTCGAAACTACACTCGCCGGTTTTCAATAGTTCGCAAAGAGCTGGGCGAAGGATCTGTTAAGAACTACGTACACTTGGTGCACGTGGTGCTCGGAGGAGTAGAGCAAAATCCTGGCCCCGCTGTGCAGGCTGCCGCGGAGACATGCTCCAAGTGCGGAGACTGGAAGCAGATCTGGCTCAGGCTCATAATATTATTGGAGAACTGACACTAAATATCAAGGAGTTGGAAGATGATGTTGAAAGTAAGGGGAGCGGGATGCCCCACGCGAAGAAGAGGCGAGGAATGTGCGACCGAATGCCAATGAGTCTCCTCAGTCAGATGCTCCGTACATCGGAAAAGTTAAGGTGATGCTGCGCCACAGCGGCGGTATGTTGAAGAAAAAAGAAGCAGATGTGTCTTTTTTCCTGGAATTGACATCGAGAAAATGACCTCTGTAGTGAAAAAAGACGAGCAAAACGACGAAATAGAAGTGTTACTTGTTCACATATATATAATTGACAAGTTCGTACAATATAACATTATTGAATTTCGTATCGCTTGTGTACAAATAAAGCTGCAAAAGCTATTCTCATTTCAGTATGATCTTTGAGTGAGAATTTAGTGTTTCGGGCACAACATCACGGTCATTAGTTCTGCAGATATAGGGCACATAGCTAGGGAAATGATGTATCTCTCCCGCTTGAACGTGAGACCCGGCGCCGACTACGCGTAGACCGGGGGTTTTCCGCTACTCCAGACTAGTCTCCCTACATGTGCGCAAGTGTAGTCGTCGCAAATGTGACAAAAGGAGGGGACAAGTATACGAAAGGAAAGATCACGCGCGGTTCGTGGCTCATCTGTTAGGGCACTGTTCCTGCATTTTGCTGATATCAATAGGAGAAACTGCGGCCGCTCGAATACGTCTCTAAAAAGTGGATGAATACGATCTAGCAACGGTGGTGGAATATCCGCCACCGTTGGGACTCGAGCTCAAGATCTCCCGGACAGCTCCGCTGCAGCGTCAACGGCTGATGCCACTGAACCATTCGGTACCATGTTTATATCATGTCTATTTTATGATTACCAATAAGTATGCAGGAAAATGTATTTCCATCGGCGGGAAAGCGCTCCCAACTCGAAGATGTGCTTCTCGCCCTGTGCCACCCCTGCGCCAACGCCGACGCGAAGGGCACTCCAGCGCGCGTCCTCGCGCCTGCAGCGAAGGGCTCTCGTCGCGCTTGCCACTGCGTCCGCGAGGTGTCAGCCCCGCGCTTCGCCGCGCAAAAGAATCCCACTGACGTCACCGCAGAGCACAGGCGCACATCCCAATGAACGTGTGGTCCTCGCCTTTCTTTTCCCTTCTGGGTGTTCCACAACATTACACAGACTTTCTCGTAGTGTAACTTTTTTAACATTCGGCGTTTAATTGTCTTAAACTAGCAAATTGATTGATTTTTCGGGTATGTTAACTATTATGGTCATTAGTCTCGTCAGTGTTGTGTATGTTGTAACTCGGGAAGTGGTAGTTTTCGTTCATTTGAAGGTTTTTTGAAATTGGCCCGTCACCTAATACGTCTGACTTCAAAAGCGCGGTAGATGACATGGAGCCTCAACTTTGTCATTAGAATCGAACAGTACGAGTACGTTTCGTATATTAAAATAGTGTGTCATTTGTAAACATACAAACTTATTTGTATTAGTTGTAAATTCATTAACTAATCTATTGTATGTAAAATGTATTTCTAGTACAAAGTGGGGTAATAGGACCTACATAGTAGCTCACGGTTTGTGTCTATATAAAAAAGTTAAATCACACGATCAAGGAAGTTGGTCAGATCTTTAATACAGTTTCTCACATCTACAGTTCAAGCACGAAACATATGAGAGAATGAACCAAATGAATAGAAGATTATGAGTTACCACGTTATACGTGTTGACAAACTTCGCAGTCACTTTCTTAGAGTTCGCTACATACGCGCTTTGTTTCGACTTATCGCAACACTGCAGGAAATCCTGTCAGTCCTATTTCTACGAGTTCTTTTTCGTAGAGTTATCAGACAGCATTTGAAGGAACGTTGCAGCGTTACGCCACTTTGTAATAAATGAGTACAGCGAACACCTAATTTTAGGCGAAAATCACATATCTGCAAATACTACCGATCCAGAACAGGATCTTCTCACTTTAAACGTACGTACCGAGAAATAAATTCCGTCTACAATCCATAGGAAGAAGTGGTCCCCTTGACCTGCCACAGAGGTTACCTGATTTTTCGTAGCTAATGGCATTAAAAATGTAATTAGATAATGAAATAGGTTGCGACACGAGCTTCAGTTTATTTGGAATGTGGACAATTTAAAACTTTTTTATATCATAAATATGCACTACCTACGATAAAAAAAGTCTGGAAGGTAATACTCAAGAAAATTATCTCCAAAGTAACATTTTTGTACATCTGAATTTTTTGAAAAACCATTTCCATCAGCCGTAATTTCTCAGGTCAAAACCAGGCGAATGCCGTAGCAGTTCTCTAACAAACATGTCACGGAGCGCGCGCGATCTTTCCTTCGTCTTCCTTGTCCTATCAGCGCGGGATCTCGGCAGCCAGAAAATTAACACTGTATCTTGTGCGAAGCAGCCAAAGTGTTCTTATGCCGCTTCGCATATGATTCCGTGTTATTTCACGACGCGCGTGTGCAGGGGCTACGAAACTCGCTCATCACCAGATGCCAAAGACGTGTTCAAAAGTGCCCTTCCAGCACGAAGCCTACATTCACATTCACATTCACATTCACGGAGATATTCGATCATGCGATAGGTTGTTAAGGCACCCCCACCATAGCGACCACGGCTACCTGAATTGATTAATAATAATAATAATAATAATAATAATAATAATAATAATAATAATAAATAATCTCACTTCCAGAAATCATATAACATCTTCTATGACCCGATAATCTACAGAGGGCCTTGGAAATAGAGAAAAATGCCATAAAGCTAGCGACTGGAATCCTAACCTCCTGTAAACCCGAAATAGCTGTTCCTGCAATACAAATATTAATAATAGTGATAATAATAATAATAATAATAATAATAATAATAATCATAATAATAACAATAACAATAAACCGCCCGTGGAGCAGACGACAGCTGCCGCAACCGTCTACGCCACTGGGCAGCTGTCGTCTGCGCCGAGGAGACTGCAGGTTCGAGGCCTACGTAAGGATGGTAGTATTTGTGATTGTCCCTTCACCCTTCATCATCATTCTATCACCTGATAGTTCACAATTAAAAGCGTACCAACATTGTCTTACGTAGGGATGCAGCTGAAAAGCTGCTCCTAAAAGTTACATACGCCAATCTTTATTGTGCTCAGAAATGGCTGATATGCAAATAATAATAATAATAATAATAATAATAATAATAATAAATAGTTTTTTTTTGTTGAGTGTGCCCCCTGTGAAAGATTTTACAAGGCTTGCTCACCTTCGAAATTGACCACTGTCGCCGCCGTGGATGAGTCACTATGTCATGCCACTCCCGGAAGGCGTCTCTGCCGATGCTTCCGTGATGTTGGCACCGCAGGGCGGACGTTCCACTAGAAAAAAGACATTTATTATTGAGGAACTTCACTTGGAATTATCAGACGATTGATGTTAAAACAGACAATGTATGATTGCTCGCCGTTTCAAATATGTACTGAAATGTATAACGCAAATTCTTTTATATTATACATGTCTTCCGGGATGATGGGTGGTCCGTGGTCCAATTGGCTTTGAACTACCAAACGTTTAGCTCACGACTGCGGGGGGCATCCTCAATGGCGAGGTCTCGGGCGAAGTGTCCGGGGCGGTGGCTGACTGGCATATTACTGACTTTGGCAAATTCTTTTGCCAAGAACCATAATATAAAAATCTTTAACAAGCTGAAAATTAGTATTTAAATCATTATTAACTTCTTACTTGGTCTGTTGCTCTAACTTCTCAGAAACATTGAAGAGACATTTTTGAGCAATTTTTTTCATCTGCTAAAAACTAGACTGAGATGAATCATGAAACTGATTGAACGTCACCCATGAATTCAATTTCTTTGAGGACATTTTCATGGTTCGGCTTAAAAATTTGACAGTGTTCATCTCACCCGTGCATCACCAAATAGGGATGGAAATATGCTATTTGCGTTTAATTAGGGAAGTGATACTTCCGAAACCTAAGATGTTTGTACTTTGTTTTCGTGGTTCGGAGTTTCTGTTTTGATATCGGCGATTCTGTACTGCGTAAATATTGCCCAGCTCTTCGTCAAATAATGTGATGCACTTTATAGTCAATCACTGACCGGAATCGTTAGAAGCGCTTTGCAAAACGTCGTTTCTGAGTTTACGTTAAATGTACATGGTTCTGCGCTATGACGTCTAACGCGAAATCCCCATAGTACAAAATCCTCATTATTCTCTTTTGTTAGAGTGAATGTGCATCATTGATCTGAAAACTTTATTCCACATTAATTAAAATTCAGATTTTCAAGCAGATGGTTTTATGTTCCCGCCAACCATGCTTTCCTGTAAGAAGGTCATCGATCATGTTATTAGTGTGATCCTAGAGAAATGTACAATTATTTCGAAGTATATATCTGTCAATAAATAACAAGGGATCATCCGTACATTGTACCATATAATACATTCAAACGTCATAAAAAACACAAAGCGAAAAATACATGAAGGTTGCGTACATAGGGGAATGAGAGGCGGGGAAAGCCCGTCGCTCGCCCGCCTGTCTATCACGAATTCCACATAGAGGATCCGGGATTTGAACACCGAGGGAGAGATGGGAACCGAGCATGCTCGCCGCTACGCTACGGACTGTTCAGCATCGTCACGTGCTAATTCGTAGAGCGGGAACCTTAGTTCAGTACGATAGACGATTTTTTGACAGGTTTAACAAAAATTGAGCATCGCCGAAAACAGCATCGTTCTGCGAAAATAATTCTTTCGCTAGCCGGAAAGCCAGCGCCAGCTGTTAATGCCTCAATGTGTCTGTCCAGTGCGTGGAAGTAGAGGTTAGGGATAGTTTTGACTAGTGATTTACACTGTTCCGATGAGTAAGGGAAGAAATGATGTATATTATATTATGACTATCTATTAGATTTAATTTATAAAAACTACAGATCCCTTTTTTTTATAGTAAGTTGTATTCTTATTTCAAAACACAGAAGAAATAGTATACATACGCATTTCACAGTATATTTTTGTCATGTACGTCGTTTCTCTGAGGTTTTGTCATCCTCAGGTACAGATATTTCGAACTTTCTACAATTATTACAAAATTATTACTTACTTATACAATTTTTTTTCAATTTGTTTGGTCTAAAAGCAAAGGAAAGATAAAGAAAAATTAGTTTAAAGTTATAATTTTACTTTTTTCATAAATTAGAGGATTACAAAGTGGTTATGAAATACAGAAAAAAGAATACCCACCCCATTTCGTGTGATGAATTATGTATTAGATATTAGATATTATACGATTATAAATTGTATGATTCTAATTATATATTGTACAGTAATTTGTTGTAATTGATTAGATTACGATTTCATTTTTCAAAGAATTGACATACAGCATCTCGAAATCCCAATGGGATTGCATGATAATTAAGTCACCAACCGGATGTAAACGGACAGGTCATGAATATAAAACTTTGATGAGCTCGCTTTGTTTACTTTCATTACGCTTATAATTAAAATCAAAACATTGTAAATTTTAATCAAAGAATAGTGCCTGTAAATATTTTTTGAAAATTAAATGGTAAGTTGTACTTTTATTTTTTATATTATATTTGATGCGTCTTCAAGCCCAGGAGGCGTTGAGCGTTTTGCGCTTTCGGAGTAATCCTCCATTAATATTTTGATTAGTCGTATCTGTCACGTATCGTCGCAGTCAGATGTCAAGAGGACCTCCAAGTAACATCTCCGCGAATGCACCCCTGCGTCATTACTCAGCCAGAAGTGGGAAGGAATTAGGATTGGGGTAGGGTTTAGGACACTTCACAGGGATTGGAGTAACTACTGTGAAACATGGAAACTCGTTTTGTTGTAACAAACTTCACATGAGGTTCTACGGGGATTCCACAGGAACCGAACACGGAACCTCAGTGGTGGAAGGCAAGCTACTTCGCCATTGAGCCACAAGATAATTCGCGGTTTTTCAGCTAAAAACACTGATTTAATGCGAACATTCTCGTGGTGGACAAATGACAAAATAATAGGGAGTACGACAGTCGCTACACAAATTATAGATGATGTGAGAAAGGAAATCCACAATCAAGGTTATAATAATTTTATTAATTATCACATTCCCAGAGTTAACTTTCTGGACCACGGGACATCTGCTACCACCACAGAAGTTATAGATGAGTTACTCTAAGAAGGGATAACTTTGGCAGATCGAGAATCGAATGAACATCATGCGGGGCAATGACATTGCAAAAGATAATGATGAACCCATTTTCAAATGAGTCAACTGTAAAAAAACACACCGACAAACTGAATACCCTTTAGTTATGTTGCAGTACCTTGTCAAAGCGGTCCCTTCTCAGAGAAAACTCTCTATAGCTAACGTGTGCGAAATGAACGCGAATAATTTGAATGTGTTACCACCGACAACGCCCCCGAATTGGGTTTGGCATCAATGAGAATAGAAACCACCCGTTCACATGACTGACCCGGTACCATACCGTCTTACTGGGAGATGTGGCTCATGGCACCAACAGATGTCCTGCGGTGCCTCTGACCGGGACACCATACATGCCGGGAGACCGGTCGGGAGCTTGGAGCCTGTCTCGGGTGAGGCGGTTGGAGATACCTGATTGGGGAAAACCCGCTAGCCGATGGTAGGTCGTCGCTGGATCTTGCCATCCAGCGGGGGAAGATTACTGCCACCACCCGAGGAAAAAACATGAACTACATTTTCGGGACTAATGTCCTTAGCATGTGTAGCTCCCGGAATCACTAACAATCAATGAAGCATACCGCCGTCGCTGGCGACCGGTGGCTCCATCTGCAGGCGCGTGTCCCGCGGTGCATCCGCGTCTGCGGTGACGGCGGGGCCAGCCTGGGGGTCCTCCATGCTGATAGCGACGCTTCCGCTGCGGGGCGAGGCGCCGTCGGTGCCGTCGTCCGTGTTGGCGCGCGACACGGAGCGCGGAGAGGCCGACTCGGGGGAGCGCGCGAGGGGCGACGTCCCGGCGGTGTAAGCGAGGGCGCGCCCGCACCCCTGCGCCGGAGTGGGCAACTTATCACCGCCACTGCTCAACTCAACGGAAAGGCGGCTCCACACATTCAGCATTCGCCGAGACATCTGATGAGTTCGGTGAATGTTCTAACGAATGTGTGGAGCCGCCTTAAACCTTTTGTGTACAGTACAAACAATGGCATGAAGAGTGAAAGTGAACAAAATGGAATGACACACACGATTTTTTGTCGCTACAACAGGCCCTCCATAAATTACGTACAGCATATTTGGAGTATTTTGAATACCCCCACTCCCCCGTAACGTATTTACCTGTAACACGCGCTTGAAGCCCCCTAAATAAATACATTACACTCAAAAGAAAAACTCCCTTTTGAATGAAATAAAAATAAATTATAAAGCAATAGCGAGATGTACACATTTTATTTGTACGTGACCTCCATCCATTAATAAAACTGGCGACAATGTTTGAATGAAGGAATCATACGTAGGGAGAAAATTGGAGAAGCCGTGTCCACGCCATCGAATATAACGCGTAGACTCCGAGTCCATTGCGCTAATTACATTGTATTCCAGAATAAACTATATATTAGATTTAAATATTTTTTCTA